ATGTGTTCTACTGAAGAAACAAAGTCACCTACATCTTGGATGCCCTGGGGGTAAGCAGATAAACATCAAATTTTCATTTTTGGGTGAACTATCGCTTTAAGAACGTGGATTTGTGCTACATCGGTGCCTGCAACATCTTCATAAACAGACAAAACTTACTACAGAACTGTCAAGGGTTATTTAACCATAATCATGAGTTTTGCATAATAGACATGTCCCGTGCACTTTAGTGCCCATTGAATGGAACATATACACTCCTTTCGAACAGGAATCATGGCGGAATATCCTGTGATGTCCACTTCACAGGGCACTTACAGTCGAATGGAACAAAAAACCTCTGAAGCGAAGAAACATACAAAATGTGCAGAGCGGGGGGTGACTAAGACCAGGATTAAGAACCGCTGCCATACATTATGGAGACCAAATGCCCCCATAAGTATAGTAATACCAGTACATTTTGACCTTGTGGGGATATTTTTTAGGTCCCCATGGGGAAACAAGCTTATAATTCATACAGAATGGAACTGTTTTGTAAATCTAAAAATGTTTTTATTTTTATCTAGCGATTTTTAACTTCAACTTCAACTTTTTTTTAAACATTATATATTTTACACAATATACATGTAGGCATAGCCTGTTTGTTTACATTTAGTGTATTTATTTTCATAGCCTTCAATATGCACATTGTTTGTTGGACAACACTGGCAGGATGTGAAATAACATTTCTGTTAATAAATAAAGAAAATAAAATTTGGCTTTTTATCCAAATAGAAAATTATAGAAAATACACAGATATACATTGCATATGATTTTATTTATTTGTTTGTTTTAGATGACATAACCATTCACAATTAACTTCATATTCTGACAAAATAGAACTTTATTGCTAGTATTTCACTGAAGTAGGTTTGTAGTGTCATGGCTCATCAGGCAGTTGCAACAAACCTCTTTCGTTAAAGGGATACTCAAAAATGAAGATTCACTTATCTGTACTCACCCTCATGTCGCTCCAAATCCATAAGGCTTTCATTCATCTTCAAAACACAGAATAAGTTATTTTGGTAACACTTTCTATGAAGCCCATATTTATAATACATTATAAGAGTATTCTTAAGGCATTATAATGAATGCATAATGCATTATAAAAACCCTTATAATATGTTATATCTTATGAATAAAATGTAACCTAACATATAAACATTGCTTTTTTTTTTTTTTCAGATGAAATTATTAACTAGCTCACATCAAAATTAATATTAGCCTCACAGGGAACACTCGAATAACACTCCACACCTAACCACTTAAAATATGTAGTAAGATACTTTGCAGATCTTAAATAAACAATGTCAAGATATATTGTTACAGGGCGAACAAGACGTGAGATGTGCGGATCCATATGCAAGGCTTTATTAAAGGGTGTGGTCATGAAACAGGCATGGGTCAAACAATGGCAAACAGGTATATTAAGGGCAAGACAGAAGAGTAATCCAAAACGGGCGTGGTTGATCAGCGGCTAACAATATCCAGAAGGCTAAACACGAGGGGTTATCCAATAACACGAGCTAGAGTCCAGGCGAGGTGCAAACACAGTTCGAAACAGCAGGCAAAGGGTTAATCCAAGAGAAACAGGCAATAATCAGGTAACACGGGAAAGCAGGCAAGACAAGACTATGACTAGACTATGGAAACTAGAACTAAATACTTAAACAAGGACAGGGAACTGGCTCCGTAAAGTAGCTATCGCTAGGTGAGTGATATGCGCTTACAATACTCGGCCCTGAATGGTTGTTTGAGTGAGTGTTATAGTGAATATGTGATTGGTTACAGCTGTGTGCAATCAGTGCTGTGTGCAATCAGTGCAATGGATGATGGGATATGTAGTCCGGGTCCCGGCGAGGTGCAAACACAGTCCGAAACAGCAGGCAAAGGGTTAATCCAAGATAAACAGGCAATAATCAGGTAACAAGGGAAAGCAGGCAAGGCAAGACAAGGCTATGACTAGGAAGTAAGGACTAGGAACTAAGGACTAGGAACTAGGGCAGGAAACTGGCTCCGTAATGTGCTACCACTAGGAGAGCGATAAACGCAAACAATACTCGGTGTTGAATGGTGGTGTGAGACTGATTTATATAGTGTGTGTTATTGGTAGCAGCTGGGTGTGATTGGTTTTAGATGAGCTTGTGATTAGTGCAATGGAGCATGGGAAATGTAGTCCAGGGTGATGTGTAACAGTTTGTTTAGTGCGAGAGTCAATGTAACGGTGACCTCTGGTGGCAATCGAACGGAAGTCCATGGACAGGATTCGTGACATATATAGTCCATTATAAATGTAAAAATAGATTTTATATGGTGTTCATTGTGTGTTATAAATAATCATAATCTTAAAACATAACCACAAATGCATAAGCATTATAATGTATTATAATTGTTGTTATGATTATTTATAAGATGATATAACATATTATAAGGTCTTTTATAATGCATTATGCATTCATTATAATGCCCTAAGAATACCCTTATAATGTGTTATAAATATGGGCTTCATAGAAAGTGTTAACGTTATTTTTAATGAAACTTGAGAGATTTCTGTCCCTATATTCAAAGGTCATGCAGCCAAAACTTTGACATTTCAAAAATTTTACAAAAAATATAACATTTAGCAACATTTCTAAAGTGAAAAAAAAGGCTGTTTTGCAAATATTGGAAATTGGAACACGCCAAAAAGCTGGTACATTTCAGAAGCCCCTTTTCAAAAACTTGTGAAAGCATCTTTTGTTACCGGCAGTTAAGTTTTTGGTTGATTTGTGTTCCTCTTTTTCACCCATCTGTATCTTCTCATGCCTTTCAATAAACCCTGTTGAGATCACTGCTGCGCTCGTCTCTCCATGATAGAAGACCAGACAATCATCACTATGTGCACAACAACGTCTTTCACTGCAGCAGCTTTGTCAAACTCTCGCTGCTCCACTGCATTCTAAAGCCAAAATGTGACCACTTTCTCATCTACCTCACATCCATCTCCCTTGCTGCACCACAGTTCTACGCCAGGTCACTCCAGTCCCCTAATCGGGAGTGACAGAGAATTGCAGTAACTTTCTCCTTCACTGTTTGCTCCAGTTAAAGATGCAGTAACAGTGCTTTCCCATGGTTTGAGACAAAATTGTGTTTGTCATCTCTCTGCTCTCTGGAAGTACTCTGCAGTTGAACCATCTACAAACCAGACCCGGTCACCCAATTACTCACGCAGCCAGGCAATCTGAATAACTGTACCGTCTGTGTCAAGGAAATTCCTCTATAACTGACTATGCGCTGCACTTCTGGACCTTCTGAACCGGTACTGGAGCCCTCTCTCTGGCTGTATCTCACCACCCACAATGATGTTATGGGCTGGAGCAATTCATTCAACTGTGTTTCATCTGTGCCTCCCATCGCAAAGCAGTCACCAACTTGACAGCCCAGCAGTCACCGCCCATGGCTTGCTCATCACACCCTCCAGAGCCTTTCGAGGAGCCTAAGCAGATGAATTCCTTCTGACTCTCCCAAGCCAAATGACAACAGAAAATTGTAAATAGACTGCCTTTATTGTATCACCACACTGCTCTGATCAATCTGCACATTGGATGCCTTCACTCTGAAACCATCACCTTCCTGATTCTGGAGGGCTCAACATCAGATATCATCCTAGGAAGTCTCTGACTCCCATGGAGGAGTGTGTAAAGGAACTCTAACAGGGTTACATCCACTCTTCAACTTTCCCTGCCTATTCCATTTTCCTCTGTTTGGCTTGAGGCCATACATTGACTACTGCACCCTCAATGACATCACCATCAAATTCTGATATCGTCTTCCCCTGGTCCTGGCAATCCTGAAACAGCTGCAAGGAGCATTGGTGTTCACCAAGCTGGACCTATGTAGCACTTACAACCTCGTTCAGATCCAGAAGGGAGGCAAGTGTAAGACGGCATTTGTCACTCCCACCGACCACTATGAACATTGAATAATGACGTGTGGCTTGGCCAACTCTACCTCCATGTTCCAAGGCTTCATGAATGAGGTATTCCAGGAGTATCTTCATTACTTCATCATCATCATCATCTGTATCAATGATATCCTTGGCTACTCCAAGAATGAGGCTCCGAAAATTGCTACCATTTAACTCTTGTACTGGAAAAACTCTGCAAACACTGTCTGGGTTGAGAAAGTGTGAGTTCCATCGGCCTTCAGGCCAGTTTTTTCAGATATAACCTCAGCTTCAGAGTGCAGATGGGCCGGGAAGGTCTCCACCGACCAGTCCTGGCCATTTTCATCCTCTATCAAGGAACTACAACACTTGTGTTTGTATAATCTCATCTGCCAATAAACCCTGTTGAGTTCACTCTGTCTGTGTCCATATCTCTGTGACAGGTGGTTTGAAATACCATTACATATATGGGAAAGGATTCAAGGATGCAATACAAGAAAATGCAAAGGAAAGCCTGCAAAGGACACCCCGGCAAAATTTTGAAAAATGAAAAGAAAAATTTTTGCCTGGTATACTATCAAATACATGTTCATTATGCAATTATAAACCAGCACTGAAAATACTATTACTGTTTGCAGGCCATTGGAGCGAACTGTTACTCTTCACAAGGACATGAACGGGCAGCTCGGCTTTCTTTTTAAAAAGGGTCGAATCACCTCAATAGTAAAAGACAGCTCAGCTGCACGTAACGGCCTCCTTACTGATCATCAGATCTGTGAGATCAATGGTCAGAATATAATCGGACTGAAGGTAAATGACATCAGTATTTTGCATTTGTTGGTTTTCCTTCTTTCTCTTTTGCTGTCTCTCTTAAATCACACCATGGCCCTGTAAAGCACTTGATTTCAATTTAAGATACTTTCTTCTCTTTTCATCTCTTTGATTAGGACTCCCAAATCACAGACATTCTTAATTCCAGCAGAGGAGTTGTCACGGTAACTGTGATGCCAGTGGTCATCTTTGAACACATGATGAAAAGGTATGGAAAATAAACCGCGGGCGGACAAAACCCAATGTCAATCAGCAGTCTATTCATGCAACTTTACTGAAAGTATCTTTTTTTTCCCTTCTTTTATTGCGTCTCACAAATGTATTCTTAACATTATTATTCTCGCTGCAGGATGTCCAGCAGTATTGTAAAGTCACTAATGGACCATTCTATTCCTGAGGTGTGAGATCGTTTGGATCAAACTGTACAGCTGAGGATGATTTGGCCACAGCTTTTGGAGGGCTCACATTTTGTTTGGAGCACAAGTTTAGTTGTGTGTCCACAATCATGTGATTTTAAGTATGTTTATGTACGTTTAAGTTATTGTCGGGCAACAAAAGACAAAGCAAGGATAACACGAGAGATATTTGTTTCAGTTTTTCCTTTAAATTAATAGTGTACCCAAAAATGACAAGTTCTGTAATCATTTACTTACCTTTATGTTGTTCCAAACCCATATGCCTTTCTGACGTATCACACAAAAGAAAATGTTAGGCCATATGCAAAATGTTCACACTGCTCTTTTCCTTACACTGAAAGTGGGGTTGGATGCTTTTGAACCTAAAAAGTAAAGGAAACCATGAAAGTAAAGTAATTTATTCAACTTACTGTGCTATATTCTAACTCATATGAAGGCAAATATAGTGTGGAACACATTAGAATGTAAGTCATTATGCACTGATTAAATTCACTAATCCTCCCCTCTGCCATAGCTGTCAAATGTCATTCACACTTTTGCATATTAAAACTGGTTCATCACGATCAATCATAACACACGCAACAACCTATGCAGTTTGGCATCATTAATGTCAAAGTTGGTGTGACTTGTCTTCACACTTCATAATTATATATACATGAATGCAAATAGGGAGCTGCAGTGGAGAAAATTTTCAGCAAATAACAACTTAAGCATCAGTATGTTTTCTTATTCAAAGCTATTGTTTAGCTTCAGAAGACTTACAGCACACAAGTCATATGGTTTAGTTTTATGACATATTCATAGTGCTTTTTTGACTTGAAGTACTCTGTCCCCATTCATGTCCTCATTTTATTCTGTAGTGTGAATATTCTGATTAGCATCTCCTTAGGTTTAGAATAAGGTTTGGAACAACATAAAGATGAGTAAATGTTGACAAATTTTCATTGTTGGGTGATGCCTTTAATTCATCTCCTTCATCTTTAGATATTTTTTGTTAAGCCTGAAGCTTATTTCAATTTCTCGCAACATAATATCTCACAAAAAAGCATTCTGAATTATCATCAACATGCATTACAGCATGCTGATGCTGTAAATCAGTCATAATGATAATGCTGTTAAAATTACATTCTAAAAGCCATTAAAAAAAAACTATGCACTGCTGAAGATAGTTATGGTATAAAAAAACAGTACAGAATTCAGAGATTAATTATGTGACGACTTTATGTTTAAGAGTTATAATTGCAGAACAGTTTTGTGCCCATGCATTCTTCTTGTTGCTCTTCTTTACATTGTTTATGTTTGTGTGGCCTGTGTGGTTTGGTACTTAAAACAAAAGAGTAGTTTTCTTTCCTCACCAAAACTTTATTTTTTTTCTTGGTGTCTCTGCAGATAGGACTACACCTTTGCAGCACATTGTTTTGCTATCTTGCTATTACATGTTCATCTAAAGCAGGGCTGTCCAAACTCGGTCCTGGAGGGCCGGTGTCCTGAAGAGTTTAGCTCCAACTTGCCTCAACACACCTGCCTTCAAGTTTCTAGTATGCCTAGTAAGAGCTTGATTAGCTGGTTCAGGTGTGTTTAATTGGGGTTGGAGCTAAACTCTTCAGGACACCGGCCCTCCAGGACCGAGTTTGGACACCCCTGATCTAAAGCCTCTTTAGACAGTGTCAGGCTGTGAATTACAACTGAAAAATCTATTATTTTCACTGGTTCCAAATAAAATTATGCATTTTATTTTTAGCAACATATTTTTCTGTCCATAAGTGTAAAAAATAAATAAATAATAATAATAATATAAGATAATTCTATTGTTACATTTATAAAATAATTCGATTTTTAAATTGCTATAGTAATTATAATAGTAATAGTCATTATAAATTCTACCGTTTTAATATAACTCCAAAGACAGCTATAAATTCATAATTTTATAGCTAAACAGTGGCATACAGTCAAAAGCAATACTTATTTGTTGATGCTTATAAAATATGTCTTAACTGTCTTCATGAAACATCTTGCAATTCTGACAAAATATAAAATAGCCAGCTAGATAATGTTGCCTTGGTCATATATTTAAATTAGTGTTCAATACACAAACCACATTTTTAAGGTTGCAAGCCAAGGCATAATATCACATGTAGCTACATGACAAATGAACATAAGACACTAAAAATACAGCACTGACTCCTACTGGGCGAGTGGAATTTCCACAACTGACCCTAGTGTTTCATCAGGCATTCATTACACTAGGGATCTTCAACCTTGCTCCTGAAGAGCAACCTTCTTGCAAACCTCAGACAAAAAAAAAAAAAGGTTTTGGAAAATAAAGCATTGTTTTCTTTTTGTTGTTGTTGTTGTTGTTGTTGTAAGTTAATCATACTGCTAAACTGTGCATAAATGTAAACCACTGAGAAACCACAGACGGTTGTCTGTACTGTTCGGTTGTAAGGCTAGTTAATATAAAGATTTTGAATAAGTATTCTTCAAATTATAATTTTAATGGTATTTCTGTTTCATATCCATCCACACTTACTAGACTGTCTCATTCAAGCGTTAATGCTGAGCATGACTCTAGCCATGCAGCCTTCCGTTTGAGAAGCGCCCATAAAGTATTTTCATGCTGATAAGAGTCCAATGCAACTCGCCATTAAACCCACAGAAGAAGAAGAGCCCAGTGTACAGTAGGTGGCGGTATGTGCTTACGACACCGATCTGCTATTGGACCCGAAGAAGAGGAAGTCGAGCTTTCTGCACAAGTCACAATTAGAAATGCAGAACTTTTAAATCGTGAGATTAACCAGTCATTATCAAGCCTCTTCAAACTTTTCCCCTCTGTTATCATGAAGCAGAAGAAAACGGTTCGCAACCAGGCCAGAAAAGGTAACGTTAATTAAGATTTCGTTTCATACAAGTAAATTGTTCTTTATGTGGGCCCAAATACATAGGTTCAGATGCTTTTTATTACGCAATATTATTTAAATTTCACAATTCAGGTGTTACATTTGATCAAGCAATTTCAGTGTGTTATCCGCGCAGTAGTGAGAGAATGTTTTTCGTACGGAATGGGGTGGATGTTTAATGACAAAGGTTGCAAAGATGAAAGCAGTATACACACCCTTTCTGATACTGTGTAACGTTCTTGTCGGAATTGCATTTCTCTTACCAGAAACTGTGACAGCATTATAGTAGAGCGATGGCATTTGATTGGTAACTTACTTAATATAGGCTATGTAACAGTTACCATACTTTAATGTGGTAATCATTCACTACCATGGCATTTACATGTTACTCCAAAGTACTTCTGTTGTACTAGACTACTTTATTACAAATCCATACGATCTTACCATGGCCTTTAAAAAAAAAAAAAAACCTTGTGGCAAATTTTTTTAGTTAGACATATGCATTATTAATAACGAGTTTAAAATGTTCTGCAGTGATTTTTACTGATTTAAAGATCCTGACAGAGTTTAAGTCAGGCTCCAAGCAGACAGGGCAAGTAGGAGGAATCAAAGCTCCTTATGGGTTGTACGTATCTTCGACTCTGATTGATTTATCATGAAAAAAAGGAAAAGTATATTTATTGTCAGTACGTTTTCATTAACTGTGTTTCCATGCAACCAAAAAGTCCTTTAGTGTCACATTGTTGACTCATTTGGACTGAAAACCCTTATTTTGATTGAGCTTGATTTGAATGAAACTTTCATTAGATTGGAAGGAATGACCTAGGCCTAAAATAATAATATGATCAACAGGGGAAAAAAAAGTAAGCAAAAGTTAAAACATTTAATAAAATAATGAAATTGTGCCATTAATGAACCCCTAAACTGCAGGCATTTAAACAACATGCCTAGCATTGTTTAAATAAAACATAGCTTCTAAAACAGCTTCTGGTTTTCAATTTTGGTCCCGGTGCCCCATCGCTCTGCACATTTTGTATGTCTCTTATCGAACACACCTAATTCAGATCAACATCATCAGTAGGAGAGAGCTGTACATACTGAGTGTGTCAGGCACAGTGGGCCTAAACGTTTAGGCAAATTTAATGCCACTAGACAAAAACACAATCATGACAATAAAGTTGTTAGAAATTAAATAGGTAAAGTACAATAAAATGTCCATGACATTAAGTTTTAAATAGCTGTTTTAAATAGTCACTGTTTTCTTCCATTGTCATGTTTTTCTCTAACCACAACGCCAAAGTGAATCGCTTGAAGGTTTCGGTCTTCTTTCTTCACGAGTCTCTCCCACTCAGAGGCAAATGACAACAGTCCGAATGAACAAAATCAAGTCCCACTCTGCATTTTTTCCTCATTCAAGAATTAATTTCACATAAATGCACAGGGGTTGGACAAAATAACGTGAACACCTGTTAAACAGGCAATATGTCATTATTAAGGTGTTTTAGCACAGTTTGCATTTAATACAGCTTCTAACCTTCTTTGAATAGATTCATACAACTTTTGAGTAGTCTCCAGTTGAATATTGTCTATAAAAACATCTGCCAGTGGCTTCAGGGAGAAACGAAACACAGTATCTTTGATAGCATCATAATACAAGAAATAAGGACACATCTAACGATAGAAACAAAATACTGTATAGTGCAATAATGTGCCATAGACAAATATATGCAGCATTATCCCATAGATTAAACTAGAGTAATGAGTCTACAAATAAAAGACTCATTAAAGGAAGGAAACGGCTTCTCACTCTTATTTTCAAAAGCTTCCCCCAGTTGTTTGATCATATTTAAAGGGATAGTTTACCCAAAAATGAAAATTCTGTCATTAATTACTCACCCTCAAGTCGTTCCAAACCCGTAAGACCTTTGTTTATCTTCAGAACACAAATTAAGATATTTTTGATGCATTCCGAGAGCTCTTTGACCCTCCCATAGACAGCAAGGATACTATCACGATCAAGGTCCAGAAACGTAGTAAGGACATCAGTAGTTCAACCATAATTTTACGAAGCTACAAGAATGCTTTTTGTGCGCAAAGAAAACAAAAATAACAACTTTGTTCAACAGTTCTTCTCCTCCTCATCCAGTCTGCTGTGGCTTGCCTCCCTTTTGGAGAGTATCACGACCATAGACTGTATAAAAACATGGACGTAGTGTCCGTGATGTCACTCGTAGGTTTCTGAAAAGCGTTTTTGAAGCTCAAAGTGGGTGGAGCTGGCCGTCGCCATCTTGGCAGCACGTCACCACGCGTCACTCCTGGATAATCGAAAATGGGCAAAGAGGCGGGAGCTGGTTGCTGAAACCACGCCCACCTAGCTCGACGGCGGTGACAGCAGCGGCAATCCACCTGTCACTCAAGTGGCCACGCCCTTAATTATGCAGAACTTTAAGGCTTAATATAATTTAAACGGATGAGTTATAAAATAATTCTGAAGATGAATGAAGGTCTTACGGGTTTGGAATGACATAAGGGTGAGTAATTAATGACAGAATTTTCATTTTTGGGTGAACTATCCCTTTAAGCCAGGTGACCTAGCCAGGGCAGATGTTCATCTTAATGCTCCAAATGTCCAAGTTTATGATCATGACACTATCTTTCTCACATTTTGGCATTAGTGATTTAACACCAAATGATTTAACTGTTAAGGTTACAGACTGCTAAACAGGCTTACATGATTTGCCTTTTCAGAAGTTTTAGTCACTCATTTCACCTATGGCTTGTACTAAACACTTCTGAACACAACTTACACTACACTAATATACATCCTAGAGCAGTGTTTCCCAACCTTTTTTTTGTCGCGGCACCCTTTGGAAATTTTAACAAACTTGTGGCACCTAACTCATTTTCGGCAGCCGAAATTTCGGTGTATCTCTAATTATTGGCGACATCAGAAATGTATATTATATAATAGATGCTTTTTTGAACATTTTAGCAATTTAAAAATATTAAAAAATGATTTTTTTACACGGCACCCCTGCTCTCGACAGACGGCACCCCGGTTGGGCAACACTGTCCTAGAGAATATAAACAGCCAAAAAAAAGAAAAAATCTATAAATACTGGGTCTTCTAAATACTTCAAATTGGTGTGTTGCTGCATAAATAAATGTCAAGTTAAATAAAATTGCATGGCAACATAACTTCCTCATATCTAAAGCAGCGCAACATGGCGTCGCCCCTTTTGTTGCATGTTCCCGGGGGTGGGGTTTATGTAAATTTCAGTTTTTGTGATGTCACCAACCCGGGAAGTAGCTCATTGTAGTCCCTACCAGCCGTAACTGTAGGCATTAAACTGCCATCATTTTAAAAGACAATATCTCCGTTTGCATTGAACTTTCAGCGTCATAACTTTGCAGATATTGTTTATGCTCAAACAGCAACATTACACACTAACTAAAGTTAAAAAAGTGAAATCACAATCAACCACCCCTTTAATGTTTTTAAACTTTATTAACAATTAAGTGAACCTTGAGTAATATATCAAAATTATTTAAAGAAATAATGTCATGATCCCTTTAAAAGTCAGGTTTAACGAATCTCAAAGTTAATGTAATACATACATTACATACATTATTTGGTTTTGTTAGGTCTGTGTTTTCACTGTTAGAATTTATATATAAAAAAAAATTGAATAGATTTTTTTATTCATTAACATTTGTCTTATATAAAATAAGGTACGTTCTCTATTCTTGCATTATTCAAATGTTTACATCGTTTTGCCCCAGGTAAAAATAGTAAAATGTAAAATTTTAATTCATTTACATTTTGTGCTATGCATCATCATCATCATCATCATCATCATTCTGTACATTTTCAACTCTTATCTTACATTATTTTTACAAGAATGTGCCATAGAAGATTTAGCCTGGTTGTATTTTGGTACTGTCATGATGTTTTTAAGCATTTTGTTACAAAGTGCAGTTTAGGTGTTAATTATTTTAACATTTAAAAAAAAAATCTAATAAAAGTTACAGCTTGGTCTAGTCTTTTTTTCTTAAAGGGGTCATATGATGCAATTTCAAGTTTTCCTTTCTCTTTGGAGTGTTACAAGCTGTTCGTGAATAGATAAGATCCCTGAAGTTGCAAAGACTAAAGTCTCAAAACCAAAGAGATATTCTTTATCAAAGTTAAGGAGGCGGGGCATAGAGGACCTACAATAATGTACCGTATTTGAAAAATAATGTGTTTTTTGAACATTAAAGCATGTCAACATATTCTGTTACACCAAATACACAAAATAATTATCTTTAAAAAAGCATCATATGACCCCTTTAAATGAAACAGTAACGTAGGGAGGCGGGCTCAGTGGAGGGTCAATTGTGTTAGTATGTGTGTGTTAGCTATAACTGTTGTCTCCATATGAGGTCCAAAAGAGGGTGTGTGTACAGCAGCTCTAAAAATACCCAGGAGGCACTGTGCATATATCGTGTTGCAGCTAAACCAGTGAGATGTACTTCATGTGAGCATTGAGCTTTGCTTTTCTTTTGCAGTTTAGTTTGCAAAAACTAGAAACCTCCAAGCATGGGTGAAACCAGTGTAGATGGAGCCAAAATGACAGGTATAGTCTGACATGTTTAGACATTGGCTGTTTTTGCTGGTGCTTTTACTGGTGTGGTGTGAGCAAAACCTATATCTGTCAGATATAGTGTAACGTTTCACATGGGGTTGTTGACCTCAGTGCTGGTTTGAGCATGAAGTCTAAAGTTCATCTTTTTGTGTGTTTGTGTATTGCATTTTTCATAAAGTGTGAGCTTGTTAAATTGTTTATGTCATGCCATTTGTAGTTCATTCATAACATGCCACTGTAGTTTTGGTTGTAACAACTTTTTGTAATTATTTTTACATTTGAATTGTTTTCATTTAACAAATGTATGTTTGATAGTTTGATAATTGGTTGTGTTTTGGACTGACTAATCATTGTGATACTAATTACACTGGCCCTGTCGACCTCGTGAGGTCACACCCACATATATGTAGCCACTCCCCATTCATAGTTTGGGCTGAAAATTAGACCCGTTAAGAGTATGATCACATGTCTGTATGTGCATGTAACATACAGACGACCTTGCCAGTCAAGTGTAATACAATCTGTTATATGATCGTGTTATTTTTTAACCCTTTGTTTTTGCCTCTGTGAGTAAACCATTCCCTGTGGCTTTTTACATTCAACATTTGACCTCATTTCAGGACGTTACAGGTACTTTCATAGAATAAGAAGTGCACAATGCCAGAAGAGCTATTATTACCGAACTGAAAACGCCATAGTGCCAGTAGGGGTGACAAATGTAACAAGATGATATTAAATTGTTAGTTTTGTTAGTTCACTCAAAAATTAACAATGTCATGTACTCACCCTCATGTTGTACCAAACCTATAAAATTAAAGGTGGACCGATATAGTTTTTTTTTTAATGGCCGATGCTGATATGTTACAGAGATGGGTAGATATGTGTATATACATATAGGGGTGGAACGATTCAACTTACTCACAGTTCGGTTTGTATCACAGTTTTAGAGTCAGGGTTTCGGTATAGTTTGGTATGTGCTATGTTTAGGCAAAAACTATACTGTCAAATAAAAATAAAGAAAATAAGAATAATCTATCTAACTACAAGCAACAGCGCAAATAAATACAATAGAGTAAAGATACAAATAAAATAAACAGTGATTTTTGGGTTTTTTTAGGTAGTTCTAACATTAGTTTTTAGGTACAGAAATTTAATAAAGTAATGAAATGTAAAACAGCATTGCATATTTGACTGTATAAATTAAAGATTAATCTTTATTAAAGTTACAAAAGCTATTCAATCAAGAGCAGTGAGTGATTTCTTTGTTGTTGCTGTTTGATTAATATTAAGAAAGTGCTGTCACTTTAAGAGAATGCACTGATCTAGTACAGTACGTTCAGCCGGCTATGTCTGCTATAGGATACTTACCAAGACGGGCATTTTGACATAATTTTTGTGTGAATCTGTCCATTTAAATACAATACTTCAGAGAGAGCTTAATATTTCTGTGCGTTCTGAGGTGCGGGTTTGCGCGCTTCGGATGAGCGCACGCACAAATCTTCTCACTGCGTGTGTGAGCTCGCGTCCTCTGGCTCTTAAATGTATAAACTGGCAAGTAGCAAAGTTTAAATGAGTTTAGCTTAAACACCGATATCAACGTGTGCTGTTCAGATCTCACCTGTGCACGCGCGCTATCAGCACCCGGGTGATGACGGAATAAATGCTCATATTCCAGCATACAGCATTCGCTTCGAACAAGAGTGAATGGTTTGTCCACGTTTTTTTTTTAATCGCTGTTGTTGTAGTGTATTGGGAAGCCAGAATGCGCATCCATCAACAGAAACATATATTAGCCGAACCCTGTTTGTTTTACGTGTTATTTATAGCAAACCATATTACAGATGCGTTGTCAGATTTAAGTTGAACCGCGGTCCTAGCTTTTTTTCTGCGAACCGTTCCACTCCTAATATCCACCCAGCTCAGTAACATATTAGCATAGCACATTTTATTTTTCAAAAATAAAATGATCAAAAACATGAATAAAAAGCAAGTAAACATTGTAACCAACAGTGCACTTAATCAAATGGCCTTTACATATTGAGAATAATATTTTCTCCAATAAAGACCAGGCAACGCTAATTTTACATGTGAATATGACATAGCGTCCAGCTGGATATAGCACAGCATACATGTGTTTTGAGCTTTGAAGCTGACTGCTTGTGCTTAGCTGAACTTTCCTGTCTTCATCCATCAAGCATTAATCAGGGTAGTGCAATATTTACATTTTGGCAGGAGTGAAAATTAGCCTGTGAGGGATAAAATTATTGCATGTTCAACAGGTTGTACTGGTGTGATCACATTGATATGATACCAAAAACTGCTCTTTCTAACCAGCCCCCACATGTCTATTTCACGATGTGGGAAGATTTGCATAACGCCGCCCAAATGTTCACGCAAAGAAAGAAGGCGTAACTTTTATTCTCG